CTTCTTTCTACAGCTCAGACTCTTCCAGAAGGACCAATTATGCAGCATGGCTGGGCTGAGCAGGTCACTTGTAGTGGTTCCTCACCAGTCTCCAGTACTGCTGGACAGGGCCTGGCAGGGTGCCTTGATGCTGTGTTCTTCTCAGTTCCTGGCATCTCCAATGCAGGGGGGAACCCATTGATCTTCCAAGCCCACTTTTGCTAGGCAGAGGTCGTCCTTATCCCACCTTCAGACACTGGCTGTGCTAGAGGGAACCTGGCTCTCAGAATTCTTTCAATCAGGGCCAAGACTCTTAGCTTTTCTACAAGTTCTGCCTCATCCCAAAATCCATGTTGCCTTAGGATGTTTAGTTTTAGTTCAGTCATTTTCACCTCTCTTACTCCCTAGGGAATCTTACATATAGATGACTGGCTAAGGACAAAGGTGTGAGTGCAGCCTAAGCCCTGGAAACTGTGCCATGGTCATTTAAGGGAAGGTGAAAAACGTCTATTTGCATTTGAAGGCTTTCTTCTTTACCTTTCAATGCCAAATCTTCCACAGTTGCAGGAGTTTCACTGGGGCATCCCCTTGCACATATAAAATGTATAGAAAAAAATACAAAATAATTTGCAGAGCTATGGGGTAGGAAGGAAGTCAGGAAAAGCCTCAGACATTTTTTTTACCCCAGTCTCAGGGGAAAGATGCTAGTCTAAGACATTGGAGACAGACCCTAGGGCCATGGAAGTGTTTTCTTTCTGGGCCAAAGCTAAGAGCATAGACATGCACCCTAACCAAATAGGCTTTACAATTTCAGATTAAACATTATATTAGGAGTATGTGAGTTTACAAAGGTTTATAAAGTGTTTTACATATGTCACTTCTTGAGCCAACTCTATAAGGTAGGTGCTATTATTATCCCTCTTTTACAGATGAGAAAACTGAGGCCCAGAGAGGTTGTGACTTGCTCAGGGTAGCCCAGCTGGTAAGTGAATGAGGCAGGATTTGAATTTAAGTCTTCCACATTCCAAGACTAGCACTCTTATCTACTATACCACCTAGCTGACTCTACTATAAGACCTAACTATAAAACGTCAATTGGAAGTGAATTTAACATTCAGTAAGATCCATTATTACATTCCTTGTCTAATTTGCATCCTCTTTCATCAGGAATATCATCACTGGGGCCCACTCTTGTCCAGTTTTCCCAGTCCTTTCTGAGCTTTCCCCTTTTCCCTTTTCTTAGTATGCTTATGGTGTCCACATCTTCCCCCCTGCCCCAAAAGAATCAGGATAAACTCAATGACATGAAGAGCCAGAGTTCTTAGTGCAAAGAACCATAGAAAGTTAGTGGTGGATTTCAACTGCCTCAAATCTAAGAAACTGATGCAGTCTACAGGTTAGGCATCCTGGAATCCCAAAATCACAATATGCGGGTCCTGCCTGAAAGAATTTGACCCAATTCTTCTTTCAGCCAAAAACAAGGTTTATTGAAGATTCGCCATATTAGCTAGACTCTTAAGGAATCTGAGCATCTATGGGCTATTGGCTAGATTCTAAGAATCAGAGCATCTTAATAGAGATAAGATGGACCTTACATACAGAAAGACTGTGGGAGGGATCTAGGAGTGGCCAAGTAGTCTATGAGGTGATAGAATTTCAGGGACCTGGACCACGTGGCCAAGGGAGAATGGAGAAATGGCCTGGGGCCATAGGGAGGTCCACAATGAAAGGCCAGTTGATAGGATTATAGCCTCAGGGGAACACCAGAGATTTGGCCATGTGGGAAAGTCCAGGGTTTTTCCTTTCTGGGGCCTAGATCCCAACCCCATCAAAACCAGAACCTACAGGTGGGAAGTAACAGACTTAAATGACAGCAGATTAGGAATAGAGCCAGGATTAGATTACAGAGTTCCTGACTTCGTCATAAGATGCTAGAGCTAGAAAATGCCTTGGTTTATTTAGTCCAACTCCCTCTTTTTACAGACGAGGGAGCAGAGGCAAAGGGACTTGTCTAGCTGTCTTTCCACTACCACACGCTGTCTCAGAGGCATTTAAACCGATCTTTGAAGGAAACTAGGAATCTGAAATCAAGGGGAGGAGAGAATATATTGCGGACCTGGGGGACAGACAGGCTATGCAAAGGCTTGGAGATGAAAATGGAATGTATGACTCATCTCTATTCCTAACCTAAGATCCAATATAATTTTTTCTCTTAAAGTGGAATCTGAAGAAGTTGAGGAACAGAAACTGAAATTGAGGTAAAAATGAGATACTCTTTGAGCTTTCATTTCTTGATCTGTAATATGAGGACAATAATATTTGTATTATTTACCCTCACAGTGGTGTGGTATGGAAACTGTTTTTGTAAAACTGGAAGTGCTGTTAAAAATGAAGCTTTTATTATTATTTTTCCTGAGCAGAAAAAATGGAGGTTGGCCATTGGTCAGTGAAAGGGACAGGAAAAAATTAAGAATAAAAATAGAAGGTCCTTGGGGTTTCATTTCAATGTCATTGATCCCAGGAGGAGAAGCTCAGACACTCTTGTGACAATGTAGTAATGTAGTACTCCTACCCTGATTAAGAAACTAGGTAGAGTAACTAGATTTCTCCCTGACCCTGGGGCCTAACACATTATCTTCTGGATGATAATAGACTAGGTTATGTGCCCAGACATTGAGATAAGGGTTATATAAATAGAGAAGTAGAAAGTTGCTTTTTCCAAAATGTTTTCGAGCTTATTTGAAGGAGTAGATAGGCTTCAAGGACATTCAGAGGGCAGCTTGGGTTAGTTAATGATTTTGTTTTGTATTTTTAAAAAATTAAAAGTAGTTGGGCCTCTTAAAGGGTAGCAAGAACTCCTCGGGCTAGATTTGCTAGTTGTCAACAAAAACCAGTAATTCACAACCCTACTCAATTCCTACTTTGCCACAAAAATCAAAATATGAGAATTCTAAGTGCTAATTTGGTTAATACCAAATTATAGATACTAGAGCTTTTGCCAAGTAAATAAAGCCCCAACTTCTTATCTGGGAATCTAGGGCCCTTTACAATCTTATTAGACTCAGTCTTTTTAAGTCTTTTCTCTCACAACATAAGCAATGTGATTCAGTGGACAGAGAGCCAAGAGGACCTAGATTCAAGTCCTTCTTCTGGAACATACAAGCAGTGACTTGACCCTGGGCAACTCATTTAACCTCTCAGGAATTTCCAGAAGGTGGCAATGAGGAGGAAGAGAATTCCATGAATGGGGGACAGCCAGTGAAATTGCCCAGTCAGGAGATCTTGATCAAGGAAAAGGAAGGAGGCCAGTGTTATTGGACTGAAGAATATGTATGTGAGGGTAGGGTGTAAGGTGTAAGAAGAATGGGAAGAAAGTAAGAGCAGATTATGAAGGGTTTTGAATGCCAAGCAAAGGACTTTATATTTGATCTTGGAAGTGACAGGGAGGCACTAGAGTTGATTGAGAAGGGAAGTGACATGGCCAGACCTACACTGTAGGAAGATCACTTTGATAGCTGAATAGAAGTTGGACTGGAAAAGGGGGACACTTGTGGCAGGCAGACCAACCAGAAGGCTATTGCAATAGTTCAGGTATGAGGTGTGAGGCCTATACCAGGGTGATGGCATTGTCAGAGGAGAGAAGGTGGCACATTTTATCATTATTTTTCCTGAGAAGAAAAACAGAGGTTGGCCATTGGTCAATGGAAGGTGCAGGAGAAAGTTAAGAATAAAAATAGACAGGTAAAATCAACAGGCCTTGGCAAGATATATGATGTGGGGAGTGAGAGAGAGGGAAAGGAGGCTAGAATGACAACCAGGTTGTGAGTGGAGACTCTCCTAGGAAACTGGGAGGATGATAATGCCTTCGACAATAATAGTGAAGTTTAGAAGGGGTAAGATTTGGGAAAGGTGGGAAAAATAATGAGTTCCATTTTGGACATGAGTTTAAGATATCTATAGGACATCTACTTTGAGATGTCCAATAGACAGCTGGAGACTAGTGGAGAAGTTAGCACTGGATAAGTGGATTTAAGAATCTTCAACATAGAAATGACAATTGAATCCATTGGAGCTGACGAGATAGCAAAGGGAAACAGTATAGAGGGAGAAGGAAAAAAGAGCCTACCGAGTTGAGAGATTCTAGTACAAAGATCTTTGGGCTAAAGTTGACTCTGAAGAAATCATTAGCCCAACAATAAAATGAAGGCTAAATTCACATCTTCTGAGTGAGCCACTTGAGGCTTCAATTAGTCCAACACTTTTTTGAGTCAACAAGCCCAGTTTATTATATGCTTTGTGAAATACCCAGCATTATGCTAAAGGCTTTGAAAGCTATAAAAAGGACAGAAGGTACAGTCCTCTAGCCACAGGTAAATATTATCAGGAAGCAATTTTATTAGGGAATCAAAATTTGCATACATTAAACAATCAGGGAACAAGATGATATATAATTAAGTAATAAATTTTGTGGTTCAGTAAATGAATGCTATAGGAGTACATGAAAGTGAGAGATCAGTCAAGTCTAGAGTAGTGAGGGAAGTTTTTTTATGGAGGAGGTTGAATTTAAGTGTATGTTGCAAAATAGGCAGGAATCGGCCTTGGTGGGGTGGTGAGGGACAGCTCATAAAATCGTAGAATGTAGAGGCTATAATAGGCTTTAGACTTCACCTAGTTTAACCACTTTCCCTTATAGATGAGGAAAATGAGGCCCAGAGAGAAGAAATGTCTTCTCCAGGAAAGATGAAACCTTTTATTCCCCTATCATTCCTTTTTGAGGTTATTGGTTGTTTATCTGGTTGAAATGACAGATGTGCAAGACTATACAGAATGTATACTTTGGTCTACTTACAGCCACATTAAGGTTTTGTGGGCAAAGTGTTGACCTCAGTCATTATAAGACATGAGTATGAGTCCTACCTACAACACTTAACTGGCTTATTAACTGTGTGCTAGTCATTGCCCCATCAGAGCCTCAGTTTACACAACTACAAAATGGAGTCAAGAATACTTGAATTACTTACCTCATGGGATAGTTTCGAGAAAAGTACTTTGTAGTTGGTTCTAAAGTTGTAAAGCAATGATGATGCTAGTGATGAGGAAGATGATAATGATATGATGACTCCTTTAGTCCAATGGAATGAGGTAGTTGCCCAGCATGAACAATTTCTAAAAGCCAAGAATAGGACATAGAAAATCAAGCCAAATGCATTTTAGGCCTTTAAAAGATTCGACTACATACCTCCTTATCAGCAGGAAGGATGTGGGTTCCCAAGCCTAAGAGGAGCTGAGCCTCAGAGAGAGGCTTCATCTTCACCTGCCTTGTAAATGCCATTCTAGCTCTAAAAAGAGCTCTGGAGTGGGATGAACAGCAGGGTTGGGGCACATGATAATGGCAGGGCCACAATGCTTCCAGATTAGCACCACATTGACAATTTGGGACTCTGCTTGCAAGTGGTACCAAAGGCTCAGGCCAGCACCCGCAATCACCACTAAGTCATTAGCCTCCTTTGGCTGATGATGGAGCTTGTGGAAAATCACAAGGTTACAGAGTTCCCAACAGAGACACTGACTTAAAAAAACTCAGCCACTTGTGATAAGAATCTTGAAAGATAAAAATCAATTAAGTCTTTCCTTTTTTATGAGTTGTTTTTTTTTTTTTAATTTAGAATCCAATTCCCAAAATACCATTTAGAAACGCTGGTGATAAGAGGGAACTACTTTTTAAGTTTTATAAAACTTTCTGTATGAGGTCACAAGAGCAAAAGGCTTAGAAATATTATCAAAAAATCTACAAATAGGTGCAGCTAGGGGCACAGTGGATAGAGCACCAGCCCTGAAGTCAGGAGGACCGAGTTCAAGTCCGGCCTCAGACCAAACACTTGTCACTTACTAGCTGTGTGACCCTGGGCAAGTCACTTAACCCCAATTGCCTAAAAAAAAAAAATCTACAAATAAAAATTGTTCATTGAGCTTCTGCTATGTTCAAGACCCTTTGACTAGGTACAGAAGGTTATACAAATTGTGGCTTGTGCTCTCAGGGAGCTTGGCTAGGAAGAATGGACAAGGGTAGGAAAGCAATTTGGAAGAGAGGAGAGTGCTTGGGATTGCAAAGGACTTCAGTCCAGTTCCACCATGTGAGCACCTTGAGAGCCAGGTCCATCTTATGCCTTTCTTTTTATCCCTAGCATTTAGCACAGTGCTTCATACATAGTAGGTGCTTAATAAATATTAATCAACTAACTGACCACAGTTTCCTCATCTGTAAAGTTGGTATAACCACCATACCTACCCTACCAGGCAATTTTTAAGGAGAACAATTTATGAATGTAAAAACATTTTAAAAGTAGAATTAAAAAAAGAGAGAAAACACACATATACATACATGTAAATATGTATATATACACATATAAATACATGTATGCATGTAAATCAGTATTACTACTATGGAGAAGAGTGAGGAATACCACAGATGCAGTGGTATTCCTTTGGGGAATCTTTTCCAGTTTCCTTTCCCAACTGGATACCATCTCCTCCCATTCCCAGTCACTCAAGTGAAAACTCAGAGCTGCTATTCTAGTTCAACCCCCAGCTCACTTTCCCCCTTCCTAACAGTTATGCTCGGTGCCCTTTCATCCACTCATCCCTTGAGGGACAAACATGGCCACTTACACCAATTGGATAAGCAGACAGCCACCAACTATAAACATTCTAATAAAATGGAGACACCATTTTGCTGCTGCACTCCAAGGACCATTCAGTCTAATCAGCTGCCCTGTCACTATACCTTCCAGGCCACCCAATCTCTACCCTCCAGACCCCCAGGCACTCTCATATGACCTTTCAAAGGACCCTAAGCACTCTTGAGCTTTGGCATTCTTCCCCTTGCAGCACTATAAGCTCCAATGACTTCTCCATTCACCAAACAGCTGAACTCTCCTTCATAAATTACCACTCCTAATTAGAATGCAAGCTCCTTGAAAGCAGAAACTGTCTTGCTTCTCTATTTCTAGCCCCCACACTTAGCATGGTGCAGAATTAAACACTGATCAATGTTCATTCATTTGTAGAGACATTGCCCACATAATTCAACCAACATCATTTTGCAAACACATAAATTCATTTTTATTCCAACCTCACTATAAAGTCATTCTATAGAGAGGAAGGGAACATATTTCACCTTATTGGAAACTGTCCTCATCTTCTCTTGCACTGATTCACCTAAGGAAACCAATTAAGGATATTGGGCTTGTTACTCCTACATGTACAAATGCCACAGAAATGCCACGAACAAGACATAATGCAGAAGTCCAGAGAATGTAGAGACCAGTGTGACCTGGTGAGGTGAAGGAAGTATTCACAGGGTTTAATGAATGTCAATTGGGTAGAAAGGAAGTCATGGTGAGGTGGAAAGAGTGCTAAAAGTATAATCAGAAGACCTGGGGTTCAAACCTAGGTTATAAGTCCTATAACATCTGTAAAATGAGATAGTTAGACTAGATGACCTCTCTGTTCTTTAGTGCTCTGATATCCTATGACTTCCTTGGCAACTTTGGTTGGGAGGTATGGATCCATGGATAGGGCACCTCTGAAGGGAATCATCTGAAATGGGGGAGAGAATTGGAGGGGGGATATAAATTGATACCACTAGAGATTCTCATAAAGCACTGTGTTCTGTCTGTTCTAAAAACCAGATAAACATCTGGCTTCAGGTAGCAATTACTTCAGAGGCTAAAGTTATTCCTAGGTCCAAATTTGAAAGTAACAATTAAAAAACTGGAAAATATGCTCAAAAAATTTAATATATTTTGAAAAATTCCCTGAAAAATTCCCTTCAACAACTTCCAATAGAACTCTATTGCTAAATCTATCCTTTGAGGTCTTGCCTTTGGAAGTTATGCTAGATCTATTAGGATTCAATGCTATTCAACTCAATAACTACTTATTAAATGTACACTATGGGTAAGGCCAAGAGCTAAGTTAAATGTTCACAAACACAATCCCAATTGCTTTTTTGTTTTGTTTTTATTTTTTTTGTTTTTGGCTAGGCAATGGGGTTAAGTAACTTGCCCAGGGTCACACAGCTAGTACGTGTTATGTGTCTGAGGCCAGATTTGAACTCAGGTCCTACTGAATCCAGGGCTGGTACTCTATCCACTGTGCCACCTAACTGCCCCATCCCAATTGCTTTTTAAGCATCCTGTAAGCTAATTTGGCTAGGCAGAACTGAACCTCCCTTTGGGAACAGGAGAGATAATGAATGCACCTCTGCAAAGAGTGAGCCCATTGTGGCAGGTATGTGCCAGAGAAACTACTTACTGTCCTCACAGGCACATCTGTGAAGGTCTTGGGTACCATGTGTAAATATCTATACATATGATATAAGTTATTTTGATTAATTTCAACTTTTATTGCGCACCTATTGTGTTCAGCACCAAGGATATTCCAAAGTGAAAGCTCACCAACAGATTATGTCTGCTTTTCCAGGACCAGTCTAGTGAATTATAGAGAAGGTCATCACCAGCAGACTTGTGTTTTGGCGATGAATTCATCAGCCATGGCAACCCATGAAACAAATCTTCAGTGGTAAAAAAAAAAAAAAAAGGTGGGGTGGGGAATCAGAGGGCACTAAGAATCACAGAGCTTTCAAATTATTTATAAATGAACTTGGCTGTTGGTGCTCTAAATGTGAGATACTTGTAATGGGTATATAACTGGAGGAAAAGAACCATATCAATCTCAACACTATCCTTGGAATCAAAACCAGAAGAAAAAAAGGAGTCTGGAGCTAACGGAAAGGATGGTGCAATGAGAAACATCATTTCATGGGGTATCTGTTCATCTTTCAGTACTCATGAGAAATATTTGCAAAAAGACCCCTGCTTAGGCACATGTGTGTGTATACACACAGATATACATATATACACACAAATATACATATGTATGCATACATACGCACACATTTCAGTCACGGTTCCTGCTGCCAAGGAATTTACAATCTAACACGTATGGAGAGAGAAAAGAGAAATGACTTGTACACAGAAGGGAAATGAAGCCCAGAGTGATTTGCCCAAGGTCCCAGAGTTAGTCAGTGGCAGAGCTGAAACTAGAACCCAGGTCTCTGCATCCTTTTGTTCAATCCTCTGCCCATTAAAATATACTTCTCCACAGCCACTATTGAGGTTAACAAACATTAGGTTGAATAAATTATATTCTCCACAAGCGACACTGTAGTGGTATCTTTCAATGTGAGAGAAGCAGCTGATCTACTCATGAGGCTAAGATCACCAAAATCTTTTTTCCCCCCTTTCTCAAGAGGAAGAGAGATTAACCAAAGCTTAGGCTAATTCAACATGATGCCTAAATATCTGGATAAAAAGTGAAAAATTCAGTCCATCATCCAGTTGTTTCCAAGTACCTGAATAGGTAGCTGTATGTGGATAAGACACTTCAATGGACTGAATTTTTCACTTTTCATCTTGATAGCCACATAAATGTAGCCTTGGCTGTCTTAAAAGTTGGTGGGTTATCCACTCTTGGAGGTCTTCAAGGAGAGGCTGGATAACCACTTAACAGGGAGTGTTGTAAAGGGGATTCCAGTTCAGATGTGGGTTGAATTTGAATTCAGGAGCTTTTTAACTTTGTTTTTTTCATGGACCCTTTGGCAGTCTTATGAAGCCTACAGACCCTTGCTCAGAATAATTTTAAATGCATAAAACACATAGAATTATAAAGGAAGCCAATTATGTTAATATATATGACAAATATAAAAATTTTTAAAACCAGTCCACAGTCCCCAGTTAAATACTCCTGAATCAGATGGTCTCTGGGATCCCTTCAGCTCTGATATTGTATGATTATATAGCTTGCCCAGCTCTTTTACCATCAACTTGATAACCAGCCATTTAGACTCACCTACCAATTATAGACTCATAAACAGAAACCATCTGGCCATAAAAAAAAAATTGTGAGAATTTAAGAAAAAAAAGAAACAACTACATTATCCTCAAGCACCCACAGGCAGATGATGTACATAGAACTAAAGAATGAAGACTCCATAATCAGAATCCATATCTTGTGACCTATTGAAGGGGATTGGGGTGGACATTCACATCTACAACCTACTATGTAGCTCATAAGGTATGGAGAACTTGACTATGAGGATACAA